TGCTGGCTTCAAAATACCACAACTGGAGACTTACGACGGGACGAAGGATCCCGATGACCACCTGCATGCTTTCTACTCTTGTATGCAAGCTCAGAACGCCTCTGACGCGTTGATGTGCAAAATCTTCCCCTCTACTCTTCGAGGTAACGCCCGAACTTGGTATTACAGTTTACCTCCGAGGTCAATTAGCTCGTACACAGAAATGACATCTGCCTTTGCCACTAAGTTTTCCAGTAGAAGGTTGATTAGGAAAACTACTTCTGAGCTGATGAGAGTTAAACAGAGGGATGGAGAATCTCTCAAGAACTATATGAGCAGGTTCAATGATGCGGTATTGGAGGTCATTTCCTTTGATCAAGCTGTGGGGATTGCAGCTGTGATCTCCGGTCTTAAGCATGACAAGTTCAGAGACAGTTTGATCAAACATGCTGCCACCACCTTTAGCGAGGTGAACGATAGGTCTTTGAAGTTTATAACCGCTGAGGAGTATGCCCTGGCGCAGAATCCGACTCCCACTAAGAACCAGAACCCAGAGTGGAGAGATGACAATCCGAGCCGGAAAAGGATGAGGATGACGCAGAACCGAGGTCCAGTGTTGACCTCCCCACCGAGATTCGGAAGGCCGAACTCCACACCCCCGCAACAATCTGCAGGTAAACCTCCAGTTAATTGGACTCCCTTTAATCTGCCAAGGTCACAAATTTTTATGCAGATTAAGAACAAAATGGACTTGAGATGTCTTGGCCCAATGCGAACTGCTGCTGCTAGTCGAGACCATACCAGATATTGTGATTTTCACTAGGATCACGGCCATACTACAGAGCAGTGTAACAGTTTAAAGTCCGAACTGGAAAGTTTAGCTCAGAGGGGAATGCTGAATAAGTATGTTCAGAGAGCTGAACAGCCGAGGTTTGTCAGAGAACAGAGGCCACAGCCTCAAGGAGTCCGCAATCCCCCAAATAGGCAAGGTGTGGGATATCAGCAAGCCCCACCTCCGCTCCCACCACCAGCTA